ATCATAACAAAAGATGTATAGACATCCACATTGAAAACTAAACATCACTAGGAATAGAAAATAAAGAAGACCGAAATAGAGTGATATATTGTGTTCATAAATTTAAAACCTCAATATTGGAAGGATATTAATTTTCCTCAAATTAAGCTATAGATTTAGCAGTCTCAATAAAAAAAAATTCTGAAACAGATAAGCTGATTATCAAACTCATATACTATGTGTACCGGTTAGTAATTCAGATGTTTTGACCAAAGAAAACACAATAATTTCAAGAGAAACATCAAAAGTGCTTTATTCAAAGTTAACGTCCATCGCTAGCTACACATTTCCCCATCGTTCAGGTAATTTGTGGGTACCGTCCCAATAGAACTTTTCTTGTTTTGAGGCAAACCATCCAGAGACTCAATTTTTCACTTCTTCGTACATTTTGAAGTGCTGCTCAGAAAGTGCGTGTGCCATCGATTGGAACAAGTGGTCATCTGAAGGAGCAAGGTCTGGTGAATATGGCAGGTTGATTAATACTTCCCAGCCAAGATCTTTTCATGTGTCTTTAACTGGTTTTGAAGTGTGTGATGGTGTGTTATCATGAAGCAAAATTACTTTGCTGTGTCTTCTGGACCATTCTGTTCGTTTTTACGATCAAAGTGTGGTTCAAATTGACCTGGACATTCTTTGTCTTTCACATCAAAATCATCACTTTTAAAGCGTTTAAACCAGTGTGCACACGTATCTTGAAATGAAGCATGTTCACCACAAGCTTCCTGAAGATTACGGTAACTTTCAGCAGCACTTTTATTCAAAATAATGAATTAAAACTTCCCGCAAATGTTCTTTTTTTGTTTTTGTTTTCTTTGGCACGAAATTCAACATTTTTAAGCATTAACATATCTAAGATGTTAACACCTTCAGAAAATTTGACATATGAAGTTTTGAAGCTTGTTGTCAATACAACAAAATAGCTTACATATCAAATTGCATAAACAACCCAATCAAAAAATGGGCAACGGACCTAAATAGATACTTGTCGAAAGAAGACATAAGGAAGGCCAAGTGACATACGAAAACATGCTCAAAGTCGTTAATCATCCGAGAGATGCAAATCAAAATGACAATATGGTACCATTTCACACCTGTCAGAATGGCTATCATCAACAAATCAACAAACGACAAGTACTAGTGAGGATGCGGAGAAAAAGGAACCCTCGTGCACTGTTGGTGGGAATGCAGACTGGTGCAGCCGCTGTGGAGAACAGTATGGAGCTTCCTCAGAAAACTGAAAATGGAACTCCCATTTGACCCCGTCATCCCACTTCTAGGAATATATCCCAAGAAACTAGAAACACCAATAAGAAAGGATATATGCACCTCTATGTTCACAGTGGCACAATTTTCCATAGCTAAGATTTAGAACAGCCTAAGTGTCCATCAGTAGATTAGTGGATTAAAAAACTGTGGTACATCTACACAATGGAATGCGGTAAAAAAATAAATAAATAAATGAAATAAGGAATTCTTACCATTTGCAACAGCATGGATGGAACTGGAGAGCATTATGCTAAGCGAAATAAGCCAATCAGAGAAAGATAAATATCACATGATATCACTTGTTTGTGGAATAAAACAAATAACATAAATTGATGAACAAAAACAGATCCAGAGACAGGCAAGCATTGATCAGACTGTCAAACCTCCGAGGGAAGGTAGGGGAAGATGGAGGTAAGGCAGAGAGTTCAACCAAAGGACTTGTATGCATGCATATAAGCCTAACCAATGGACACAGACAACAGGAGTTTGAGGGCATGAGTGGGGAGGGGGGGAGGGAGGAATGGGGTGATAAGGACACACATGTAATATCTTAATCAATAAAGAAAAAAATTAAAAATTGCACATATATAAACATATGTGTAACACCATCTATTGAAAAAAACAATCCTCATTATTAACCAGTACACAGTAGCCAGAAACCAGAAAACCAATTATCCATCAATTGATGAAGATAAACAAATTGTTGTATTTCTACACAATAAAAGGAATCAAAATTTGATATGCACAACAACATGAATGAATCTCAAAAATATGTGGAGCAGCCTAGCTGACATGTCTCAGTGGTTGAATGTCCACCTATGAACCGGGAGGTCATGGTTTGATTCCTGGTCAGACCACATGCCTGGGTTATGGGTTGGATCCCCAGGGTTGGGCATGCAGGAGGCAACTGATCAATTATTCTGTCTCCCATCATGGCTGTTTCTATCTCTCTCTCCCTCTCCCTTCCTCTCTGAAAACAAATAAGAATATATTAAAAAAATATGTTGAGCAGACAAAAACATGCATACATGTAATTCCATTTATATTAAGTCCAAAACAGGCACCAATGGATGGTTCTCTTAAGTATGATGTAGAGCAAAAGAAGCCCAACACAAAAGAGCACATACTATGATTTCCATTTTTTGTAAAGTATAAGGCAAAAATAACTATGCTATTAGCAGTGATGCTAATGATTACCCTTTGGGAAATGGTAGTTATTACAAAAGAGCACAAAGGTAGCTTCTGGGGTGCTAGTAGCATTCAGTTTCCTGATCAGATGAAAGCTTGACTGAACTGTACACTTAGGATATGTGCTTATGAATGTATGTTTTTTATACTCCAGTAAAGATGGACACTATTTTTTTCACCCTGGCTGGTGTCCAGTTGGTTGGGCATACCCTGTTTCCCTGAAAATAAGACAGTGTCTTATATTAATTTTTTTCTCCCAAAGTTGGGCTAGGTCTTATTTTCAGGGGATGTCTTATCTTTCCATGCGTTAGGTCTTATTTTCGGAGGATGTCTTATTTTCGGGGAAACATGGTAGTTCTGTGCAACGAAGGGTTGCCAGTTCGATTCCTGGTCAGGGAACATACCTGGGTTGTGGGCTCAATCCCCAGTGGGGAATGTGCAGGAGGTAGTAATCAGTGTTCTGCTCTCACATTGATGTTTCTCTCCCTCTCTCTCTCTCTCTCTCTCTCTCTCTCTCTCTCTCTCTCTCTCTTCCTTTCTCTCCCTCTAAAAGTCAATAAAAATATCTTTTGAAAGTAACTATTTTTAAAAACTAAAACAAAATATATGGATACAAACCAACTACACACGTTTGGCAAAAACACACATGTTGAAAAGATTCAGAAATGAGAGTGCGGAGAGGCTAAAGGGAGATGAAATAGAGGATCCCTTTTCTTGCTCCCACGCCCGGGTCACTCCAGTGAGCCTCACTGGGCAGCTCTGAATCAGAGCTGGCCTCCAGCCTGGGGATGGGGAGAGAGACAGGTCCAACCCAAACGTCTGTGGGCCCAGGAAAAACAGTTCAAATAGAAGCCCACATATCATGTATCTAAAAATTAAATGTTACAAATAAAGCTAGAAGACTGATTTAAATAAAATACATTCTATCGGCCTACCTTGACATATTTACACACACACACACACACACACACACCCCTTCATAATGACCTGAATGCCAGATTTAAATTAAGAATCCTCCCAGGTCCCTTCTTCCCAACACGGCTAAGCCCCCACATCGCAAGAAGCCTCATAATTGCATGTGTGTGCATCCCGGGTTTCTAAATCCCATCCAGCTCCCTCAAGGAGCCTTTTCTTTGTCCTAGGGGTGCAACCCAGCAGAAAGATGTGTAAACGAGCCAAAACCGGTTTGGCTCAGTGGATAGAGTGTCCGTCTGTGGACTGAGGGTCCCAGGTTCGATTCCGGTCAAGGGCATGTACCTTGGTTGCGGGCACATCCCCGGTGGGGAGTGTGCAGGAGGCAGCTGATCAATGTTTCTCTTTCATCGATGTTTCTAGCTCTCTATCCCTCTCCCTTCCTCTCTGTAAAAAATCAATAAAATATATTATTTAAAAAATGTATGAACGAGAGGGTACACCCAAGGAAAAGGCCTGCACAGGCCCTGGGGCCATCTGGGCACAGAATTACAGTGTCCCAGGTGCCAGATGGGTGGTCTAGAGTAGACTCTGAATGGGTGCATCCCCTTGGCTCCATGGACTCTTTGCCTTGTGAGAAGGCCGCAGCCAAAGGGGACCCGTGTGAAGGCCAAAGTTGGGGCCTCTCAGGGCAGATGCCCTATGCCCCACTGACCCAACCCCACCAGATGGATATAAGAGTTGATAGTTACCCTACACTTTACAAAATACCTTCACCTGTAATACTCTCAGTCAATCCTCTCTATCTTGTAAGATGACAACATCAAGCCATCGGATGGGTGAGACTCCTGGCCAAAGTCACGCAATAAAAATGAGTACTTGCTAGGTCACCTGTGGAAACCTTTCCCGCCAAATCCCCAAGGTCACTTCTTTCCACTATTCAACGCTGCCAGCCACCCCTCAGTTTTCTAAAGAACTGATGAAGGCTAAAAAAAAAAAAAAATTAAAAAAAAAATTAAATATATGGAAGCAAAACACCAAAAGCAGAGTCCTTTCTGAGAAAGAGCCTGAGATCCAAGCAAATCTCATCACTGGGACAAAGAACACTATGTAGTAGTCTTAGTCATCCCAGCCGAGTCCAGGGGTCCCTACCTCCACCCCAAGCCACAAAATGAGCACCTTCAACACAATCTCCACCCAAATTCCACACCAATTACATGGGAGCCCCGGCCTCGCAGCCCGCCTCCTCCCCACCGCCCACTAAAAATACTTTATTAATAAGAGGGCAGCTTAAAGCCACGGACCTCCATCAGATCCAGGACAAGCTAGAGAGCAGCCTGACACCAGCCCCCGCGGACACCCGACCCTCCTCCAGTGAGGACCCGCTATGCCAGGCCTCCCTCTAATTACCAGGTGTCCGGCTCGGGGGCCGGCGGTTATTTAGAGAACCAGCGCCTGCTCCTGGCACAAATGTGCCAGAGGCTGGGGCTGCAGGCTCTCTCTGCTCCAAGCCAGCTGCCTGCAGCTGCCATCTCCTCACTCTACTACCCTGGGACCCCTCCTGCCGCCTCTGCACCCCAACGCCTGGCGGCACCATGTCGCTTGCACATGCAGCTGCGGAGTACATGCTCTCAGACGCCCTGCTGCCTGACCGCCGGGGCCCCCGCCTCCAAGGCCTGCGCCTGGAGCTCCCCCTGGATCGCATAGTCAAGTTCGTAGCCGTGGGCTTCCCCTTGTTGCTGATGTCCCTGGCCTTTGCCCAGGAGTTCTCCTCCGGTAAGTGGCTTCCCAGGCTCGGTAGATAGACTACACTCTCTCTCCTCCCTCCCTCTCTCTCTTTTACTCTCTCTCGATATATGTACATACTGTTGATTTCAGAGAGGGAGAGGGAGAGATATAAACATCATCGTGAGAATCATTGATCGGCTGCCTCCAGCATGACCCCTTGCTGGGGATGGAGCCCATATCCTGGGCATGTGCCCTGATCAGGAATCAAACCATGCCCTGACTGGTCGATGCTCAATCACTGAGCTGCACCCGCTGGGCAGGACCTAGGACTTGTAAAGGTTTTTGCCATCCATGCTTTGGACAAGTTTCTTACATCCTTGGAGCTTTCTTTCTTTCTTTCTTTCTTTCTTTCTTTCTTTCTTTCTTTCTTTTTAAAATACATTTTATATATTTTTTACAGGGAGGGATAGAGAGCTAGAAACATCGATGAGAGAGAAACATCGAGCAGCTGCCTCCTGCACACCCCCTACTGGGGATGTGCCAGCAACCAGGGCACATGCCCTTGACCGGAATCGAACCTGGGACCCCCCCAGTTCGCAGGCCGACGCTCTATCCACTGAGCCAAACCGGTTTTTGGCTGGAGCCTTCTTCTTACTCCCTACCTCCAGAGTTACTGACTTAAGAACTTATGCTAGGTGCCTGACAGAGCTTGGAACATCACAGGTGAATAAACCCACTCATTCCTCTCCACACACATGAACAAACACATGTACGCAGTGTCCTAGATGACGGGTGAACTCAGCAAGTCTGCCACCTCCACTGAGAGAGGGTGGGCTTCCCATTGAACGGGGGTTTCTGGCTTTCTTTTCTGCCAGTGTGATTGCCTCACTACACCTCCCAAGGACGTGTGTCGACTCCAACTGCCTCTTCTTTTACCCGCAGATGGGAAGAAGTACTGGGTCCCACTTCTGCCTCTGTCTAGAGCCATTAAGTTTAAAAAATGTGGCTCTCAAAAGAAATTTCAACCATTGTACTGTTGATATTTGGCTCTGTTTACTAATGAGTTTGCCGGCCACTGATCTAGAGAATGATGGGAAAATCAAAATCAAGACATTCTCCCTCCAAGTTCACTTTCCTTCCAACCACCACTCCTCCACCTTTTCTCTCTCTCTTTTTTAAAAAAAAAAATATATATTTTATTGATTTTTTACAGAGAGGAAGGGAGAGAGATAGAGAGCTAGAAACGTTGATGAGAGAGAAACATCGATCAGCTGCCTCTTGCACACCCCCTACCGGGGATGTGCCCGCAATCAAGGCACATGCCTTTGATCGGAATCGAACCCAGGACCCTTCAGTCTGCAGACCGATGCTCTATCCACTGAGCCAGACTGGCTTCGGCATCCACCTTTTCTCTTGATTTGGGCTCTGAAGTCCCGGCAACGCATTCTCTAAACGTTAGGACCCAGGTGTCAGTGCTCTGAGAAAGGAGGTATTATCATGAAACTGCAACCTGCTGGTGCCAAGCTGCAAGAGTGCAGGGACCATCTATACACATACATTCACCACACCTCCCACCCCTGACCCCCTGCTGCCTGCCTGCCTGGGAATCCAGGGGGAGCCCAGAGAGCAAAAGCCTGGAAGATATCAAAGGCAAGTCAGTCACGGGCAGACCTGAGTCAAAGAGCAGAGTGCTGTCCAGCCTTGCTCGTCCAACAGGCTTGCCAAACCCAGAGAGTGGGGCGCGGGAAGAAGGAAGTGCCTGCCGAGTTCACAAACTGGCAGAGCAGTGGAGCTGGGTTCCTGTTCCTCACTCTGACTCCGGGCTTCCTCAAAGCCGTGTTCCCCTTCTAGGGTCTCCCATCAGCTGCTTCTCGCCCGGGAACTTCAGCGCCCGGCAGGCCGCCTATGTGGACAGCTCCTGCTGGGACTCGCTGGTTCACCACCAGCTGGATGAGTCTGGGCGGTACCAGCTGAAATCCCTCTGGCCTCACAAGGTAACATGAACCCGGCTCCATCAGACTGAGTGGGGTGGGCCTGGGGGGGCATCACCATATTCTCTCTTGTCTCTTTGCCACCCCTCCACTTCCATATGCTGGCCAGGGACTCGTGTTTTAGGCATTCATCAAATGCCTGGCGATCTTGGGTTTCCCACTTTTATCTGATTGGGAGTTTTGTGCTGATGGATGATGCCTGTTGGCCAGCATCCCTAAACTGAAGGAAATTCTACGTCAGAAAAGAGTAAAATCTCTACAAGTGAAGACTATTTTCAAGGAATGCTATTTTTTTAAGACAGGTGTGAAAAGGTTCTTATCTAATATACCTCTCAGAAACTCACACTCTCTCTCTCTTTCACACACACTCTCCTGTGATGCCAGAACTTCTGTTGGCCATGACCTCTGGCTAGCTCATAACATTATGGAGTGATGACAATTTACAAGGCTAACATGCATGGGGGAGGGGGAGTCCTCTCTACCCCCCCCCCCCAGCCATGATCCCTCTCTCACCCCTTCCTCCCTCTCTCCCTCTCTTTCTGCCTCTTGCCTCTCTCCTTCCTGGGGCCCTACACAGACCCCAGATCAGAAAAGTGGAGCTGGGGAGCCAGGAAACCCACTATCCCTTCTTTCCCGGGCCTCACGGTATTCGGCCCTAGTTGCTGGGCCTGTGGTAGCTCTCTTCCCTTTAAGGCAGGGGGAGGAAGCTACCACAGAACTCTCTCAACCCAGGGCCCCCCTGCTAAGCTCACTCTCATTCCGCAGGCCCTCCCCTACTCCCTGCTGGCCCTGGCGGTGGCCATGTACCTGCCAGTGCTGCTGTGGCAGTACGCAGCCGCGCCGGCCCTCAGCTCCGACCTGCTGTTCATCATCAGCGAACTGGACAAATCCTACAACCGCTCCATCCGCCTGGTGCAGCACATGGTGAAGATCCGGCACAAGAGCTCGGACCCCCACGTTTTCTGGGATGAGCTGGAAAAGTGAGTTGTCCCTTCCGCTCCTTTCTGAAGGGCTCCTCCCGGCATTTAAAAAAAATATATATATATTTTATTGATTCTTTACAGAGAGGAAGAGAAAGGGACAGAGAGTTAGAAACATCAGTGAGAGAGAATCATAGATCAGTTGCCTCCTGCACACCCCCCACTGGGGATGTGCCCACAACCAAGGTACATGCCCTTGACTGGAATCGAACCCGGGACCCTTCAGTCCGCAGGCCGATGCTCTATCCACTGAGCCAAACCGGTTTCGGCTCCTCCCAGCATGTAAGTGATATCTGTGAGGTCATGTTTAAACTAGCCTCCATAACAGGGATGGGGAACCTTTTTCCTGCCAAGGACCATTTAGATATTTATAACATCATTTGCGGGCCATACAAAATTATCAGCTTAAAAATTAGCCCCTGTACTTGGTCAAACGTTTAATTAACTCACCCCTAATGCCTTGGCAGGGCCAGATCAAATGATGTCCTGGGCTTTATATGGCCCAAGGGTCCGACATTCCCCACCCCTGCTCTATACCATCTTTCTCAAGAGGGACAGTGGTGAACACCTCCTCTTATTAACTTCCTACCACGTGTACAGGGAGAGGAGAACAGACTCTGCCTCCAGTTTGCAGATGAACACGGTCAGAAAGGGATTAATCACCCTAACCAGTTTGGCTCAGTGGATAGAGCGTCGGCCTTTGGACTGGAGGGTCCCAGGTTTGATTCCGGTCAAGGGCATGTACCTTGGTTGCGGGCACATCCCCAGTGGGAGGTGTGCAGGAGGCAGCTGCTCGATGTTTCTCTTTCATTGATGTTTCTAACTCTCTCTCCCTCTCTCTTCCTCTCTGTAAAAAATCAATAAAACATATATATTTTTAAAAAGGGATTAATCACTCTAAAAACGACTTCATATACCACTTCCTGCTCAGAAATCTCCAACAGCTCCCCTCCTGCATATGAAAAAATATTCACATTCCCCCAAGGCCCTCTACATACACTGCCACCAACTACTTTTTCTTTTTTACTTGTTTGTTTTTAAATATATTTTATTGATTTTTTTACAGAGAGGAAGGGAGAGGGATAGGGAGTTAGAAACATCGATGAGAGAGAAACATCGATCAGCTGCCTCCTGCACACCCCCCACTGGGGATGTGCCGGCAACCAAGGTACATGTCCTTGACCGGAATCGAACCTGGGACCTTTCAGTCTGCAGACCGATGCTCGCCAAACGGGTTTCGGCACTTTTTCTTTTTTTTAAATACATTTTTATTGATTTCAGAGAGAAAGGGAGAGGGAGATCGAAACATCAATGATGAGAGAGACTCATTGATTGGCTGCCTCCCTTCACACCCCTACTGGGGATCGAGCCCAAAACCCGGGCATGTGCCCTGACCAGAAATCAAACATGACCTCCTGATTCATAGGTCCATGCTCAACCACTGAGCCATGCTGGCCGGGCTGTTCTGGGTGCTTTAGATGTGTGTCCATGTGTGTACTGGGGGGCAGAGGTAGGGAGAAGACAAGGCTACACCTCCCCATGTGGGCTTATATTCTACCAAGGGAAGACACACAGCGAATAATCATAACACATAATTATATGGTGGAAAATAAGTGGCGTGAAGAGAAACAGTAGAGCAGGGAAAGGGTGGGGGTGGTCAGGAAAGCTGGGAGGCTGTGGAGTGGTGTGGTTTTAAATAGCACGGCCAGGGTGGGCCCCACAAGAGGATGGTTGAGCTAAGATTTGAAGCCATATTCTGTTTCAGGATTATGCACACACTCTTTTCTGAAACCTATCTACCCTCTTGAAGGCCACGTCTAGGACAATATTCTCCATAAAGTTTTCTGAACATTCCAGCCCCTACGGTTATTCCCTCTTCTAATGTACAACGAGCATGGTTTGTAGTCATCATTTTAACAACAAACTAAGAGCTATTTTTCTTTCATGTATGCGTAGCTTATCTGCCTCTTCCCCACAAGCCAGACTGTAAGCTCCTTCAGAACAGACTGGCTTACATATTACATATACCTGAATATCACAGCTCTCTACAAGTACTTTCTAGCACATTTATTTTTTAAAAAAATATATTTTATTGTTTTTATACAGAGAGGAAGGGAGATAGATAGAGAGCTAGAAACATCGATGAAAGAGAGTCATCGATCAGCTGCCTCTTGCGCACCCCCCACTGAGGATATGCCCGCAACCAAGGTACATGCCCTTGATCGGAATCGAACCAGGGTCCCTTCAGTCCCCAAGCCGACGCTCTAATCCATTGAGCCAAACCGGTTTTGGCTAGCACATTTATTTTTAAGGAATTTTTAAAAATATATTTTATTGATTTCAGAGAGGAAGGGAAAGGAGAGATAGTGATGAGAGAGAATCATTGATTGGTTGCCTCCTGCACACCCCCTACTGAGGATTGATTCCTTGACGGGAATCAAACCCGGGACCCTTCAGTTTGCAGGCCGATGCTCTATCCACTGAGTCAAACAGGTGAGGGTGCACATTTATTTTAATAAACTAAATGAATTGGTATAAAAAAATCACAGAGTATTCAGAACAAGAACCAGAATAGGCTTATGTAGACTCCCAGTCTGGTGCTAATTGAATAAGCCTTACTGCTTCCTAAGGATCCCACTTCTTTTGCTCAGAGGTTTACTCCGCCTTGCTGGGCAGAAATCCATTGTGGCAATTTATCACTCATGGATCGTACACTGGGTTGACTGCAGTGCACTCACTGCTCGGAGAATGAAGATGTGCTTGCTTATCACCTCCTTTTGGGAGGAGGGCGGTGATGCCCTGAGAAGGCAGGTTTTCACGGTTAAGAATGCCATCCTGGGTACACAGAGTCTGGTACTTTCCCACATGGCTCCCTCAGGACACCATTCTCCACGGACCCCTCCTGACCTTGCCTCCTCTCTTCCCCCGCCCAGGGCCCGCGGAGAACGGTACTTTGAGTTCCCCTTGCTGGAGCGGTACCTGGCATGCAAGCAGCGCTCACACTCACTGGTGGCCACCTACCTCCTGCGGAACTCACTCCTGCTCCTCTTCACCTCGGCCACCTACCTGTACCTGGGCCACTTCCACCTGGACATCTTCTTCCAAAAGGAATTCAGCTGTTCTGTCAAGACGGAGCTGCTCAGCGATGAGACCGACGTCCCCGATCTCATCACCTGCCGGCTGACCTCCCTGTCTGTCTTCCAGATCGTCAGTCTCTCCACGCTAGCCATATACACCGTCCTGGTGCCGGTGATCATCTACAACCTCACCCGGCTGTGTCGGTGGGACAAACGGCTTCTGTCCATCTACGAGATGCTCCCGGCGTTTGACCTCCTCAGCAGGAAGATGCTGGGGTGCCCCATCAACGACCTCAATGTGATCCTCCTTTTCCTCCGAGCCAACATCTCGGAGCTCATCTCTTTCAGCTGGTTGAGTGTCTTGTGTGTGCTGAAGGACACGACCACCCAGAAGCACCACATTGACACGGTGGTCGATTTCATGACTTTATTAGCTGGCTTAGAACCCTCAAAACCAAAACACCTCACTCGCCAGATCAGTGATGAGAACCCGTAGTTAAGAAATCATAAAGCACCCTAACCGGTTTGGCTCAGTGGATAGAGCGTTGGCCTGCAGACTCAAGGGTCCCAGGTTAGATTCGGTCAAGGGCATGTACCTTGGTTGCGGGCACATCCCCGGTAGGGGGTGTGCAGGAGGCAGCTGATCGATGTTTTTCTCTCATTGATGTTTCTAACTCTCTATCCTTCTCCCTTCCTCTCTGTAAAAAAATCAACAAAATATTGTTGTTGTTTTTTTAAAGAAACCATAGAGCAAGAAATTTTACGGGTAAAAGTCTTTCTCCTTCCTCATAAGCCTCACACACTATCACAAAAAATATATATCTACTTTAAAATTGCTAAGCTTGGATTCAGCTGAATTATAATATACCCTGTAGTGTGTTATCCTAAAGGTGAGAAGATATAATCAACACATGGTAACAAATCTGAAAATTAGAGCTGAAGAGTCAAAGAACTAAAAAATTAGACCTAGAGCACTCTAAGGGGGAAAAAAGCCAGAACTAAAATTAAGGACATTCTATGCAGGCAGGTTCTTCTCTCTATTTGCACTCCATCGTCCTTAGCAGTGGGGTGAGTTGGTAAGAGACTAAAGATATGAAACCCAAAGAAGAAAACAAAAAATAAAAAAGAATATATATATATATATATATACATATATATATATATATATTCCCTGAGAACACTCTGGTGTGGCCTGAAACCCTAGGATTGTGCCCAGCTTGCTTTGTGATAGTCATCAAACTTGGCCAGGCCCCCTGTGCCCTGCAAAGTGGGCAGGAGGAAATTATGGCAGGGACTTGTAACATGCATTTGGGGGCTGAAGGACAATATATTATAGAACAAGGTCTGGGCCAAGCATCAGCCATGGCTAGAGCCATGAGGTGTGCAGATACATCTTCCCATAATTTATTTTTTTTAAAATATATTTTATTGATTTTTTACAGAGAGGAAGAGAGAGAGAGGGATAGAGAGTTAGAAACAGCTATGAGAGAGAATCATCAATCAGCTGCCTCTTGCATACCCCCTATTGGAGATGTGCCTGCAACCAAGGCACATGCCCTTGACCGGAATCAAACTCAGGGCCTTTCGGTCCGCAGGCCAACGCTCTATCCACTGAGCCAAACCGGTTTTGGCCCTTTCCATCTTTTAAATCAGGGACTCAACCAAGGGCTGTAATGTTAGGCTGTGGACTTCTTCACAACTCTTAATGGGTACAGGTGTGCTTGTGATAGCCCAGGGAGACTATACATCCACTTGGAGCCAACCGCTGAAGAGCAACCACTTAAGTAAAATGCTGGTGACCCCCTTCTCTGTCTCCTCTGATGCATCAGCCCATCTTATCTGATCACTCCCACCCCTGTGCCTGAATTTAATGGAACCTTATCTGACTCCAAAAGCCATACTCTGCCCAGAATACCAACTATCTCTCATTTGATATTTATTTTTAAAGGTGCACATTATTATACCCTTTTCATATGGGTTTGTAGAAAAAAATATGTTGTTCCTGACAAAAAAGGTAAGTTTACCTAAAACAAGCAAACGGGCTGACTCATAAACATTCATTAGCGGCTTCCTATCGTCATTGGTAAAAGTCTAACTCTTCAGATTGGTACACAAGACCCTTTGCGATCCAAATACTGCCTACCCCTTCAGTCCTCTCACCCTTCTCCAAGTGCATCTTTCGCTCTAATCAACTACTTGCATTTTCTATGCTTCTCAGCCTTAGAATATGCTGTCCCCAGTGCCCAAGATGCCCTCCTGTTCCTCTCTCTTCAGTCAGTCTGGGCACATTCAAGAAGCCTTCCCACCCAACTGGGGTGGCTTAGGGGTTGGACATCGACCTATGAACCAGGAGTTCACGGTTCAATTCCCAGTCAGGGCATAAGCCGGGAGCGTGGGGTGTGCAAGAGGCAGAGGCTCAGTGATTCTCTCATCATAGATGTTTCTGTCTTTCTCTCTTCCTCTCTAAAATCAATAAAAATACTTTAAAAAAAATAAAAAGAAGCCTTCCCTAATTGGGTGCTGCCATATCATCCACTACCTGCCTGAGATAAAACTGACTCCACTGTATTAATATTGCCTTTTTATCTGTGTGGCTCTCCCTCTTAAATAAGTTTCCTACACATCCTGCCCTGATAAGAACTACATATTCTTCTGGATAAATCAGTGACCGGATGAGTTGCTTGGTAACATTACAATGTTTGGAGCACAGAGACCCAGCCTCTGAACAATCCTGTAGGGAAAAAGCTTTGTGCACGAAGATGCTCTCTGCAGCAATTGATGACCAAAAAGTCAAACAGCGTGGAAAAAAATATGCAAAATTACTATCCCGTAACCGAAAGATTGCGGGTACCCAGTGTAAAAGCTGGTGTTGACAGCCGTGGGCTGTGGGAGCCTGAGGTTCGCGCTGGGGGAGGGTTTCCGCCGGTTCCAGCCTCAGCCCGACCTTTACAGTCGCCTGCTACGCACGCACTGTCGCAAGTGACTGACGGTTACGTCATCCGGCGCCGTGCTTTACGTGAATCGGCGCAGTGACGCAACTTCCGGGCAGGGTTACTTCCGGAGCTGTGGAGACGGGAGGCGCTTCCTGTAGCTGTGGGTTCCGGCCTAGCGCGTCCCTAAGAGCGTTTTGGAGAAATCGGTTCCTCTGGACCCGCTTCCACCAGCGCAGACCCGCCGAGCCGGGCGCCACGCCGCCCCTCGGCCGGACGCCGATGCCCGCCGAGCCCGGGAGGCCCCGCAGCGGGGCCGGGCCATGAGCCTGCTGGGCGGCCTCGCCCCCTCGCCGCGGGCCGCGCCGCCGTTCAGGGCCAGGATGAAAAGGCTCCCGAGGCGGAGCCAGAACGAGAAGTACCGGCTCAAGTACCTGCGGCTGCGAAAAGCCGCCAAAGCCACGGTGTTTGTGAGTCTCACGCCGCCCGGCCCTTCGCCTTGACACCCGAGTCCGCGAAATGTTTCCCCAAACCGTCCCCTCCCTGGAGAGGCGGCGGTGGCCCAGGGTTGGCTTTTGCAGTATGCGTGGCTTCTCGGTAGCCCTGTGTCCTTGGACAGATCACGTTATTTCTGTAATCCTGTTTCTGGTCTGTGAGATTGAATAATTAACTACTCTGTGAAGATTAAATGAGGAAGGGAAAAGGTTTGGTGTCTCGATGTGTCCGTAAGTTTTACCCAGTATCGTTATAACCGCAAAACTCTTGGAAATGCTTTTGGTTTTCGAGAGAATCCTGAGAAGGAGGCACTTTTTAAAAAAATAACATCGATGCCCAGTGAAATGATGTGCTTGAGGGCGCTGTGTCAGAGCCCTAACCAACTTAGACACCGCGATTCTAGTTCCTTCATTACTTCCAACGAGTGAATGAATGATGCTTGGGAAATAGATTGAGTCATCAGTATAAACCGGACAGTACTTGGATAAGGAAGTTTAAGCATCTTACACACTGGAGTTGATTTTGTTCCATCCCATTTTTCTCTTTAGGATTCATATTGCCTGGGATGCTTTGGGTTAGGTTGGTTTTCTAAGCCCCTCAAAGTGGATATTCATATTTTTATGAATTGAATTTAAGCATCTGTGGATTTAAGCAGTAGTCCCTTTCCTCTGCTAAAGGCTCACCGACTTACATCTTGGTTTGCCTAGAACACCCATTCTATATAATAAAAGCCTAAAATGCAAATTGACCGAGCAACCGAAGACTGGTAGCTATGGTGCGCACTGACCACCAGGGGGCCTAGGCTTAACAGATGCTGCCCCCAGCCTGCAGGCCCTAGACAAGCCAAGGCAGGTGCCAGTGGGCACCCCTGGTTCACCCCCACAGGAGGTGGTGACTAGTGGCGGCAGCAGTGGGGGGTGGGGCCAGTGAGCAGGCGGTGCCAAGCCCGCCAAAGTGGGTGCCAGCAGGGGCCCCACAGATCAGCCCTGATTGCTGGCCAACCCTAGGGACCCTACCCCTGCATGAATTTTGTGCACTGGGCCTCTAGTAGTTTCCCATGCTGTCTAGTATAATCATTAATAGTGCCCCCTTTTTACTCAAAGATACCCCAGTTTTGATAAATTCTATTACTCTGACCATTACCTAGATTCTTTTATAGTTTGCAAGTAGAATAGTTCTTCCTTCTTATCTAGCAACAAAGACTACTTTGGCTTGAAATAGAATTCTTCTTCCCAGCATAATACTTTTATTCATTTTATGTGATTATATGTTTCTTTTTTTAAAGGAAAATGCTGCTATTTGTGATGAAATCGCTCGTCTTGAGGAAAAATTTCTTAAAGCAAAAGAAGAAAGACGGTGAGCTGACTTCATTTTGTGTTCAGAACCTCAGTTTTGGGGATTGAAATGATGTTATTACTCTGGGGATTTTTCTCCAGTGCGAGTTTTGTGCATTCTACAGCTCGTTGGCCACTGACCAAGTATAGAGAAACCTACAACCTAAGGTTTGGTTCCTGTTTACTCAGGTCGTGTTAGATTAATAGTGATGAGACAGCTCCTCTATTTCTCTGATAAAGCCCTCTTGCTCCAACTGATAAGTAATCTTATGATAACTCCACCAAAGAAACTCCCTTATTCTGTAAATATTTACTCTGTGCAAAGCACAATGAGTATATATACATATGCAATTCTTGGTAGATGCCCTTCAGAAGCGTAATACCTTCCAGATGCAAAGAGATACAATGCAATTCTTTAGGCTCCTTGAGTATTCCCCTCTGGAACTTGATTCGGGGTCCAATAAGAATGTTATCTTTATGAGTATATTAATCTTTATATATAGTTCTGGCTGCTTCCCCAGAACATAAAATACTGACCTGAGATGAAAGGCAAGTTCATACATCTGTTTCCTCTCCTTCCCACCTCAGGTACCTGCTGAAGAAGCTCCTGCAGCTGCAGGCTCTGACTGAAGGGGAAGTGCCGCCTGCCACTCCCGCTCACAGCTCCAGTTTGCCCCTGGCTTACGGGGTGACCAGCTCTGTGGGAACCCTGCAGGGAGCTGGGTCCAGTTCCGGGCCTGGCACTGGGGCTGAGGAACCATTTGGGAAGAAATCCAAGAAGGAGAAAAAAGAAAAAGGCAAAGAGAACAACAAATTGGAAGGTACCTCGGAGGACATACCCGTTGCACCATTGGCTCAGCAATTATTGACAATGACCTGATACTAACTGGTAGACACACACAGCCACAGATATCCTTAAACGGTCCTTCAGCAGCCCTAATAGCCTTGAGAAACAAGTGGATCAGAGCCACTTTGCATGGAAGAGTTCCAGTTAGACCTGGTCAAACACGAAGGGAGCAGCTAAGGCTTCCACTTTCTTTTCTATCCCCCCCTCTCTGGGTTGCCTTCAGGTCTGTCTTTCCTAGATGCGGGGAAATGACCGACGAGGCCTTTAGAGCACACTGCTGGCTTGGGAAACTTCTGATCTTTAAAAGGGAAGTAAGAGGCCTTAAAAGGCTTGCCTGGCTGGTGTGGCTCAGAGGTTGTGCGTTGACCTATGAACCAGGAAGTCACATTTAGATTCCCAGTCAGGGCACATGCTGAGGTTGCAGGCTTGATCCCCAGTAGGGGACGTGCAGGAGGCAGCCGATCAACGATTCTTTCTCCTCTATCTCTCTCTCCCTTCCTCTCTGAAATCATTAACAATGTATATTTATTTTTAAAAGTACAAGGTTTTGGGGTCCTAAGCAGTAATATGAAAAGTGGTTACTGCTAGGTGGGCGGGTTAGAAAGATACTCGGAGCTTTGGAGAAAAGTCCCATGTGCCCATCCATTGAGTGAGTAGAACCAGGGTTGGCTTATTGCTCTTGGCACTTACATGTAAAGATTTGCCTTCCCCTCAGCATGGGGAGGGGCCTAAAGTGGGTGACCCCAGATTTGCGTTTCAGTTCTGAAGAAAACATCCAAGAAAAAGAAAATGGAGGGAGGTGCTCGCAAGCTGGTTCAGCCCATTGCCCTGGATCCCTCAGGACGGCCTGTGTTCCCCATCGGACTGGGGGGTCTCACAGTATATAGCCTGGGGGAGGTGAGTGAGACCAGCGATATACAGAGAGGCGAATCAGAAATATGGGGATGGGGTTGAGCCTTCCCTCCCTCTTCCCACTAGTAGCAGCCCCGGGCTGGTCCAGACCAACCCCAGAAAATCTCGTCCCCAGGACCAGGTGGGTTCTGTCTGCAACATAGCCTGCACTCTCAGTGTGACTTGAGTCACTCTTTGCAGCCCCAAAGTGGTTCCAAAAGCTGCCTGCGGACCTCTGCCTTCTCCAGTGACCTCCACTGCAGGTTGGGGGCATTTTTTTTCCTAGATCATCACCGACCGACCTGGCTTCCATGACGAGAGTGCCATCTACCCTGTGGGCTTCTGCAGTACCCGAATATATGCCAGCATGAAGTGCCCAGGCCAGAAGTGTCTGTACACCTGTCAGATCAAGGATGGTGGTGCGCAGCCTCAGGTATTTCTCTTCGCAAAAATGTCTCGAACTTTGTAGAAAACTGGTCGAGGAATTGAGCTGGGTAGCCCTTATTGCAAAAATACTTCCTTGGCAAAAATTCGTATTAGCGTAATTTTGGTTTAACAGTTTTTTAGTAACTAGTCAAGGTATTTTGCAATTGAAAAAATACAGAAATTGAAATGGGGGTTTGCAGTTAAAATGGCCTATACTCTTCTTGGATGTTGTAAGGGGATATGGAGAACGACTTTTTCCTTGAAAAGTGCTCTCATGGCTCCTTTCTCTTTCTCAGTTTGAAATCGTTCCTGAGGATGACCCTCAGAATGCCATTGTCAGCTCTTCTGCAAACGCCTGTCACGCAGAACTGCTCAAGGCCATAAGCGCTACTACGTAAGTTGACCAGCAGCCTGAAGGCAAAGATCACTTTGGTAGGGGGAGGCTATTTCTCTTGCTTCTAATGAGCAGAGATCCCTATTTTATCAAATGCTTCTTTTCATCCTTCCGATGTCTTAGCAGCTAGTCTCCAGAGTGTCCGAGTCAAGAAAGCTTACTCTGGCTGTTCATGCCCCCCTTCCATCCATCCTAAGCCCATCTCATCTCCCTCTAAGCGCTCGGATTAAAGTTCTTCCTCTCCTATTTAGGGGGAAATTAATGTCTAACCTGCTTCCTTCTGGAGCTGACTTTTTTGGGTTTTCTCATCCGACTATCCACAACCTGATCCAGAGCTGTCCAGGAGCTCGAAAATGTGTCAAGTAAGTGTGCTCAAATCCATTCCCTTAAAAGACGTTCCATGATCAGTGGCCCGGGGACCTAAACTGTTTGGTTCATTTGTACATTTACAGAGCTGCTGCTGTGCGCAGCTCCTTGACTACCGTATGCTTGTTCCTTGACTACCGTACCTCAGTATTGTCTTAGCCTCTGGACAGGGAAGCAGACGCCATGTACTGCAATTGTCATTTTTTGTGTGTACCATGACAGCAAAGGAAATTAAAGAATCATGTGTTACTAAAAGAAGCCTTTCTAGCTTTCGAAAGTTTCTTTTTTTTTTAGTTAATATGTTATTAGGAACATATTGGAGAGTGCTACAAAAAACAAAACAAACAAACAAAAAAAACACGCCTGATCCCATTGGAGGGGAGAATGGGCCGTGGCTAACACACAGCTCTTGCTAATGATCCCCTTTGATCCCGCAGTTACCAGTGGGTGAAGTATGATGTGTGCAAACCTGGAGATGGGCAGCTGCCCCAAGGACCGCTGGAGAATGATGCAGCTATAAGCTTTGAGGCCTTTCAGAGACAGACCTTTGATGAAGATCATAGTGATCCCATTCTACAAGGTATCTATAATAACCTATAATAATAAAAGCGTAATATGGTAATTAGACCGGACAGCTAAACGACCTTCCGGACGAAGCCGGGGCTGCGAGGGCCGAGCCCCTTGCCCGAATTCCGTGCATTTGGCCTCTAGGCTTTTAATACCTTTCTGGTCTGAAGGTTTTCCATATTTAGGCTCTTTTCATTCATAGCTGAGTTCCCCAAATGTCTGGGCAGTAAGTGATTCAGGCTTTCACTGGTCCAGTCCTGGAGAGTCCTGAGCCAGGAGGACCTGTGTAGCTCTCCAGCAGTGCCCACAGAAGCCACAGGGCACGGCTGTGATCATAATAAGGCAGGGCCCACCGAGAAACTAGGGTTACTCGTTTTCTACTGAGGTTAAGACCTGAGCAGAACTCCAGGGGAAAGTTTATGATGCAGGACTAAGATTCCAAGTGGGCTAAAGGGGATCAGGTCAAGGGCTTGGTCCTGCCTCTGTTCCATGGATTCTCTACCATAAATGGAGCAATTGGGATTGACACTGGGATCATAGGGAGGTCTCTGAACTGGAAATAAAAAATAAAAAAAATGCTCACTCTGCCTAATATACTACATAACCTTAGGCAAGTCACTTAAATCTACTTCAGCCACAGTAAAAGTAAATAACTTCATTGTAAAAGTAAATATCTGTCCTATCTTACCCAACAAGGAAGAAATTGGGCTGACAGATGCAAGGATGCTTAGGATTTGAAGGAACGTATCTGTGTCTGATCAGCCTCCTGAGATTTCTAGGCAACACTGAAACTTAAGGAATTTCCCCCCAGGACCTCTGGACCTCCCGGAGCTTCAGCCCACAGCCTTCGTGTCTTACCAGCCCATGTTCCTGACGGACGAGCCCCTGGTAGACGACCACCTGCAGCACCTGAAGTCTCCACCGCAGTGCAGCCCAACACACTCTTCAGAGTGACCGAGGAGGGGTCAGATGCCACGTCATTTTCATCAGGATGGCTTTAACTTCAGCTAAAACTTAAAATACATGGAAAGAGGCAGCAACTTAAAAGTGAAGATTAACACATTTTGTCGTGGAGGTTCCCATGGTGACAGTTTTCCCTGAGAAAAACTTCACCTGCTTTATTTTTAGTAATAAATTTCTCTTGCCAACTCTGCTTATTTTCATCTTGTCAACAGGATATCATCTGTTTTGCTTAGCTCTGCCTCAGGTAGAGTAAACTTAAGTCCTGTAGTAACCAGAGTGAGAGATGGCAGCTGACTCGTAAAGGAGTGAGTCCCCAACAACCATCTACCCTTGACTCTGATCCTAGTTCAAGGAATGTTAAGTCCCAGCCCCTGCACATTGAAACTCATGATAACAGATTTAGACAGGATTGGGGATTGGCTTCCAGCCTCTAACAGACTCACCCTGTCATTTCATTAGCCATGTAATAACTGCACTCAGTGCGACTGCACTGTCTGCTTATGGCATTAGGGTGAAGGCTCACCACGTCACCTCATCCTGACCACAGCAGCTGGTTGGATGGGCAGCGAGGCATCCCAGTGAGGATCATCTCAGTAACAGGGCTGGCTGGATGGGAGGAACAAAAGGACCCCAGAAGTGGAAGACTGGGGAAGGAGTGGTGAGAACTGGATTGTTACTGCACTACAACTGGGGACAACGCAAATGGGATTCAAATTTTATAGGAATGAATCTGGCCAGCAGAGGGAGGGGCCCAGCAGCGTTGAGAGCACACCACACGTCACTATAAAGTATCAGAAGCAAGAAACATTAATTTTATAATTCTTAGTTATAGTCTTTTTATATTGTGTATAGCTTTTACCAGTCCAAAAATTAAGTATTAGACTTTGGAATATGGAAAATCAAGGGTAGAATTTTACTTAAAGCTGTTAAAGTCTTAATAGTTGCCTGGATGTATCTCTTACACAGAAATGACAGATGTAATTTTTATCATATAGAATAGAAATTATCTCCATTCCATTACTGCTTGAGCAAAACATATTAAAAGAGAGGCTCATTTTAAGAAAGACATTTTTTTTTAATAGTGTGCAGTTTATGCTTATTAAAGAGTTCACTTTGTAGCTTTCCAAGAACAGAAAGAACCTTAAACTTAGGGACTCAAGATGTACACCTTTTAAAATACAATAATTAGAATATATTGGAATGCATTGCATGTCAAAAGATTGAAACTTTGGTATTGATTATGATGTGTATATATGTATTTATATAAATATCACACATGCATTTACATGTATGGGGATACATGGAATGTCCAGTGTTTTTCTATGGGTCATTTTTAAAAACTTGAAAACACAGCCTTATTATACTTAAAATACCTTTTCTGAATTGTTCAAGAATTTTCTGGATTTGACAACATGCAATATCAATGAGTATGAAATAAAAAATGGGACTGTACCTTGTTGGAAATGTAAACTGTTGATCCCTTGGGAGGAAAAATCTGTTGGTATCAAAATTTTAAATATTTTTATCCTAAACCTGTTAATCCACATTAAGGGCCCTCAGGAAATTAAGTGTGATGTGATGTTTGCAAGTAACAATTAGTGATTGTTAGTGATTGTTAGTATTAGCGATACTGCAAAAATTGGGGAAAAAACTATATGTCCACTAAAGGGAAATTAGTTAAAGAGTGGAGCTCCCATCCCTGGCCACGGTGGCTCAGTTGGCTGAGAGTCATCCTATTCACTGAAAGTTCGCAGGTTTGATTCCCAGTCAGGGCACATAACCAGGTTGCGGGTTCAGTCAGTTGGGGGGTTTGTGTGCAGGCGGCAACCAATAGATGTTCCTTTCTCAAAAAATCAAATGAACTTTTTTTAAAAATGGGGTTTTTGCCCTAGCCAGTTTGACTCAGTAGATAAGAGCATTGGCCTGAGGGCTCCCGGGTTTGATTCTGGTCAAGGGCACAAGCCCGGGTAGCAGGCTCATCCCAGTGAGGGGGTGTGCAGGAGGCAGCCAATCAATGATTCTCATCATTGATGTTTCCATTTCTATTTCTACCTCTCTGAAATTAATAAAAATATTAAAAAATAAAATGGGGTTTCCACAACATGTTACACACTAAATCTATATTCAATTTACATAGGAAAATTGTTAGAATAAGTGAAAAACAGATTAATACCCAGTGTAGTGTTTAAAACATGACCCAAACAAATCAAGTGACTGTTCACCAAAATATTACTGTTTCTCTCCTAATGATGAATTTTGGGGTGATTTTTACTTGCCTATACTTTTTATTAGCATCCAAATCATCTACAGTGATTATAAATTTCATTTTTCAAACAGTAAAATGTTATTTCATTTGAGAAATAAGCAGAGTTCATAGGGGATGTTTTCAATTATGAACCATTAAAACTTATATGATTTCATTAATATATCCAGTCCCTAAACCTCATTTTTCACACTGTGTGCTTCTAGGTTTTGGGGGTGGGGATAAAAGGAACCTGAGCTTAATTATCTAGTTCATAAAGTCAAGTTACAGTAAGCGAAGGTTAGTTTATGATTGAAGAATATTTTATGTTCATTTAGAGTAGCCTATGTGTGCGCGTTTATAAAGTTACAGTCGTGCATATACTGTCCTGCCTTCACATTCACTCACCACTGACCTCACTGACACCCTGAGCAACTCCAGTCCTGCCAGCTCCGTCCATGGTAAGTGCCCTGTACAGAAGCACCATTTTTTTATCCTTTAACCATTTTGTTACTGTGCCTCTCGTATGTCTAGTACACTAATACCACTGTGTTAACACTGCCTACGGTAGTCCAGTAACATGCTGTATGGGCTTGTAGCCCAGGAGCGGTAGGTTATACCATGTAGGTTTGTATAAGTACGCTCATGTTCACATGACAAAATTGCCTACTGAGGCATTTCTCACTCTATCCCTTCAATGTGTGACTTACACTTTTATTTCCAACTTATAATAGACAACACACAATTGTCAAGAGCTGTGAGCTGTTTTTAATCAATAAACAGCGTTGATTCTTTTTTTTTTTTTTTTTTTGGTTTTGCATGAGGAGTTGTACTTTCACTCTCAGAACGGTGGGGCCATAGATGGTTGTGAAAAAAAGCAGGGACATTGTAAACAGCTTTGATTCTTAATAGTACACAAAAGAGCCCTCTTTCAAGTTTGTCCCATAGGATGCTTTTTCTAAATACTTATCAAGTAGCTTCACTTTCATTCACTTTCAGCCTTGCTTTTTTCTTCCATCTGGATTATCGGTTTTTTAGTTAAAACTCTTACCTTTAAAAAGCCTGACAGTTGTTTTTTTTGTTTGTTTGTTTGTTTGTTTAATCCTCACTGGAGGAGCCCTAACCGGTTTGGCTCAGTGGATAGAGCGGAGTGTCGGCCTGCAGACTGAAGGGTCCCAGGTTCGATTCTGGTCAAGGGCATGTACCTTGATTGTGGGCACATCCCCAGTAGGGGGTGTGCAGGAGGCAGCTGATAGATGTTTCTCTCTCATCAATGTTTCTAACTCTCTATTCCTCTCCCTTCCTCTCTGTAAAAAAATCAATAAAATATATTTAAAAAAAAACAAACAAAACGTGCAATACCTAACTGTTTAGTCATGGCATTGACCTCTTTTCCCTTAGATTGCCAAATTAAAAAAACATACCCAACAGCCAACACAATAATAGCTGTTGGTGTGAATGAATGAAAATTATATCTTTTCTTGTGGTTGCTGGCATTTAGTTATGTCTAAGATCTGCTCCTACAGCACTAAATCACTTAGCATCCTTGCTCTGGTGTCCAGGCATCTGGTCTGCAATAAAGGCAACGAAGGGAGGGCCCGGCAGGGTACTGCGGGGGTGGTAGAGGGGACACTGTTTATATTCACAGGGCCACGAGGCCCAGGCGTAGCGGAGAGCAGCCACGGCGCCAGGACAAGACCTGATATCCAGGGCCAGGGTCTGGGCGGAGGACGTGTTCATGGGTGCTGGAAGCCACTTGCATTGATGGTCATCACAGCAGGAGATCTAACGAGAGAGTCATAAACAGGAAGGGTCAGGTCAGGCAGAAGGGTGCTCTTAGAGACTGGGAACTGCTCTCTGAGGCAGACAGTAGTGAGAGAAAGCCACTTTGGGCCAAGAACCCACTTTCTACAGTAACCAGAGCAGATCCGAGTCAGTCTGGCCACTACAGACACAGGTGGACAATAAATGTTCACGTGACGAAACAAATAATCAACAAAGCATAAACTACCGAGGGAGACGGGGAAGCACAATCACATCCAGCATCTGGGGACGGTTCCCCGAACATCCTTGCTGTCACCTTCCTGACAAAGGGTAAAGCTGCTGAGGTATGACGAGAGGCCGCCAAGGAACTCTGGGTAATGAGGCCTTCTTAAGTCAGACAGCAACCCGGGGGAGGGAACATAAATGATCCGGTGCCCAAGCTTACATTCTGACTTGACCGCAACTGTGATTCCGGGTCCAGATGATGGACGGACTGCCAGATACTGACTAACGTGGAGAACAGAAGGCAGAAGCTCCCTGGGAGCTAGACTTCCCCTAAAACCCAGGGCCCAGAAGGTAAGTGGCATGAGCACTGGCCAAGCACCTGGGGCGGGTAGATAAGGTAGGTTCTGTAGTCAGGGTTCCAGAGGGGAAGCTGCCCTAGGTAAACTCCCGTGTGATTAAAGTTGTTTTAAATACTCTTTCAGCTGAAACCGGTTTGGCTCAGTGGATAGAGCATCAGCCTGCGGACTGAAAGGTCCCGGGTTCGATTCCGGTCAAGGGCATGTGCCTTGGTTGTGGGCACATCTCCAGTGGGGAGAGGTGCAAGAGGCAGCTGATTGATGATTCTCTCTCATTGATGTTTCTAACTCTCTATCCCTCTCTGTAAGAAATCAATAAAATTTCAAAAATACTCTTTCATCTCCTCCAATGCCCACTTTTCAGATGCCCCAACCCCAGCAATGGCCCCTTGGTTCCCAGACACCCATGGAAACGTTCCATCTACAGAAGAACCTCTTCAGTCAACAGCCCCGGTGCCACGGTGCAACGATCCTCAGAAGGAAGTTCTTTCATTATACAAATTTACGCTAAGCTCCACATCACCACTGGTAAGCCTCTTCAAGGAAACTCGAAACTCAAAAGGCTATCGGCATTTAGGATGAAGGAGACATCTAAGGGTGAGGGAAATACTCTGGAGCAAGGATCCTTTCAATAGGCAAGCTGCAAATAAACAAGCAGGCCCTGCCCAGAACAAAGATGGCTGCCTTAGAGGGAAAATACAAAAGGAGTATCCTTTAACTATGGACTCATTTGCCCTTCCTTGACTGTCCCGTCTATCAAAACTGCCTCTAAGTCAGCGACTGTCTTACGGGTGTGCCGCATGAATTTTTAAAGCATGCAATACCTGGCTGTGGAGTCAGGGGCACTGACCGCTTTTCGCTTAGATTGTCAAATGGAAAAATGACCACAGCCAATACAATAGCCATGTGGTGTGAATGAATCAAAATCATACCTTTTTTTTTTTTTTTTTTGTCAGACTGGGGAAAAATAAGAATTTTAGTCATTAGTTGAGGTGTGCCAGGAGATGAAAAGGGTTGCAAGTCGCCGCTCCAGGCAAATCATTAAGAGCTGTTCATTTGCCCCTCTGAGACCAACGCACCCCCCCACCGACCAAGCCCTGCCTCGCAGTGACGTTAAATGGAAGAGGCGAGCCTCACTGGGGAGGAAATCCTGATCTCCCCTTCAGGAGGAAATAGTTCCTGCTGTTCTCACCTCAAATATCTTGTCATCCTGCCTCTGCACCTCGATTTGCTGGGAATACACGAGGCTGAGCAGCCCCTGGCCGGCCACGAGCTCCATCTTCTCGGGCAGGGGGCCCTGGAAGGTCAGCGTCTTCTCCCCATAAGCCACAGCTCGGGCCCCCAGGTGCAGCCGGTAGGCCACAGTCTGCTTATCGCGAGGGTGGATGCTGCAGGACAAACAAGTACAGAACTTTGGGTTTGAGCTCAATAATAACCAGATTTTTTAAAAATGTATTTTTATTAATTTCAAAGGAGGAAGGGAGAGGGAGAGAGAAACATGATGAATCATTGATCGGCTGCCTCCTACACACACCCCCTTAACTGGGGATCGAGCCCACAACCCAGGCATGTGCCCTTGACCGGGATTGAACCCGGGACTCTTCAGTCTGAAAGGCCAACGCTCCATCCACTGAGCCAAACCAACTAAGGCAATAACCGCAATAACCAGATTAAAAAAAAATAATAATAACATACAAAGCACACCCAGAAGGTGAGAATAAAGTTGACCGAGTCTAATAGCCAGTGGCTGGTCAACTTAAAAGAAATGGTGAGTCACAGCTGGGGCTCTGGGCCCTTTATGGGCTGGAAACCTTGATAACAGATGACTTGGAAAGAAGAAATAAAGGGAGGGAGAGGAGAATTGGAGGGAGGGAAGGATGGAGGGAAGGATGGAGGGAAGGAGGGAAGACGAGAGGGAGGGGGATGGGTGGATGGATGGATGGATGGATGGATGAAGGGAAGGTGGGAGGGTACTAGGAGAGCTAACTCATAAGACTATTCCAAACAACAGAGCCTTGTGTTTCATCTGAACCAGCTACTCATTACTTGGTCCCCTCCAGGGTTTATTTGTTCATTCAATAAATACTAATTTATTCAAAAATAAATAAATACTAGGTCAAGCTCTTACTAGAATCCAGACACTGTGCATTGGGCTGCATTGAAACCCTTTTGTATCCTGCAGCTAGCATGTGGTGGTCATCTGAACCACTCATAAATATTCCACTGCTCCCCCTCTGAGGCCACGGCAGAATCACGTTTCCATCTCCCTGAAGCTGGGCATGGCCACGTGACTGCAGGTGGACAATGCAATGTGGGCAGAAGTATCTTGTGTTGCTTCCAGGGAGAGCACTTAATGCCCATGAGGGACTGTAAAGTGACTGTGGAAGCACAGATGGACTCGGGGCCTCTATTTCTCTGGATCTGTGAACGACCATGATGGCAAAGCCTTGTGAACGAGATATAAATTTTTGTTGCATCAAAGCACTGAGATGTTGAAGGTCCTTTTTATTATTATTATTTTATTATTATTATTATTATTATTATTACTACAGCACATCCCAGTGTAAATGACTTAGATAATGCTTCTAGGCTCCAATCCTTAGGCCATCTCTCTCCCCTCTCACAAGTGAACACCACAGTGAAGTTCACAGATAAGGAACGTACACTGAGTGGCCAGATTATCATGATCTCTGAACACATAATAATCTGGCCACTCAGTGCATATCCTATATAATAAAAGGCTAATATGTTGTCCCCTTGATCAGGAGTTCAACCAGCAGGCAGGCCTGCCAACCACCCATGTCCCCTGGCCAGGCTGGCTGGACCCCACCCATGCAAAAATTCATGCCATACACACACACACACACACACACACACACACACACACACTAAGTGGCCAGATTATTACGCGTTCAGAGATCATAATAACCTGGCCACTCAGTGTATATTATTCAAACAAAGCCCAAGAAGCACCCGTACCTGCCGAAAGGCGAGTCCCTGTCACCGAGGTCCATGGCTACAGCCATGAAAGTGTTGGGCATCCTGGGGTTGGGGACATAGCCAAGGTCTGCTGTTTGATGCCAACGGATCTGGGAAAATCGATCATCTGACTCTTCCTCAGACAAAACTGCAGACAACTAGGAAGTAGAGAGATTGCTGCGTCAGAGTTTTATTGGCATCAGAATCCTACACTGGAGTCTTTTCACAAGCAAACCCTGGTTCTGCTTCATTCATTTGTTCTCAAGTTCATCCAACAAGCACCTCCTGAGCTGCTCACTGTTGTGGCAGAATGCCTCTCACCGCGCCTGCCTCAGTGTAACCCTTCCACCCCTTTCACCAGGAGGTGGCGTTGATGGCTCCTCCCATGGAATGTAGGCTACTGTGTGTGATGTTCTCCGACCAACGGAATGCTCAGAAATGATGTTGGGCAACTTTCAAGTTTTTATTTATTTATTATGTTTTATTGATTTTTTTACAGAGAGGAAGGGAGAGGGATAGTGTGTTAGAAACATCGATGAGAGAGAAACATCCATCAGCTGCCTCCTGCACAACCCCCCACTGGGGATGTGCCGTAACCAAGGAACATGCCCTTGACTAGTATCGAACCTGGGACCCTCGAGTCCACAGGCCAATGCTCAATCTACTGAGCCAAACTGGTTGGGGAAACTTTTAAGTTTTTGCGTCAGGAGCATATCCCTTCTGATTTCATTCTCCTAGGACCCTGAGATGGTAAGAAAAACGTCTACCTATGCTGCTGGAATAGGAATCTACCCACTTTTCATCCAGATCAGTGGTCGACAAACTGCGGCTTGGATGTTAAGAGAGGGGCCTTGGGAACTGGAAGATCATGATGGACATAGGCATTCTGCCCCAGCAATCCCAGCTGAGGGGCCAGTGAAGTGGATTCTAGATCCTTACGTTCAAACGGCAGCCGCAGAGCAAGCCCACCGATGTCACATGGAGCAGAGGTGTGCCATCCCCTTGGGACCGCCTGGCCATCCCATGGAATCATGAGCGACGCCAATGGCTGCTGCTTTAAGACACTGTTTTGTTGCAAAGCAATAGGTGATGGACACATCTGTGTACTGCATAGGGCCAGGCAGTGTATGTAGGAAAGCAAAGAGGAATCTGTCTTGGAGCATGTGGGCAAATTGCATCAAAGGTCCCAATTCTTTTTTTAAAAAGTATTTTATTTTATTTAGAAGGAGTGAAAGGGAGGAGGAGAGACAGAGAGAGAAACATCAATGTGAGAGAGATACATTGATTGGTTGCACAACCTTGGTCCTTGACGGGATGTGCCTGCAACACAGATACGTGCCCTTGACAGGACCCTTTGGTCTGTGGGCTGATACTCTATCCACTGAGCCAAACCAGCTAGGGCAAAGGACCCAATTCTTTGCACCTTCCTATATCCGCACCCTCTTGTCCTACGGCTTTATGGTTTCTCCCATTAAAGGAAAAGTGTATTTCCCACCACCTGATTCTGAGCTCAGCCACGTAGTTTGCTTTATCGATGAAACAAGTCACGGTGAGTCAACTTCTAGCCTCGCCTCCGGAGCCCTGGCATGGCTGCACTTATGCTTTTGCATCTCTGCCATAGCGGTGAGAACGGCATACCTGGGCTGGCCCACTGCTCCTGAGAGGAGGCTGACAGCTGTGGACAGAGCCGCCTCGTCTCAGCCAATCCAGCCACAGCTGGCCTGCAGCAGAGCCCCCCGTGGACGCACAGGGACAGGAGTGCCCAGTGGGACTCAGCCAAGGTCAACCAACCCCCAGCTGCCCAAATACGTGAGCCATAACAATCAGCGTTATTTTAAGTCATGGATCTTGCATGCATGCTGAATACACAGGATTTGCTTTCAATTCAAACTTTTGACATATGTGTACCCCTTCTATAATGTTCGTAACGCTGAGTACCCCTTGTACTTATGAGAATGTAGAATTAGGCGCAGCCAAGCACGGTGCAGTGCATATCCCCACCAAACTCCGGTGCAACGCGTACCCCCACCAAACTCTTCCCGGACCCCTGGGGGTATGGGTACCACACTTTGGGAAACACTGATGTAGATGAAAAGTGGGTAGATTCCTATTCCTGCAAAGGACAGAAGCTCCAGAAAAGCTCGTTCATGTTACTACAATGCACGTGGTCCCGTTACTTCCTCCTTCCTTCTCTGATGTTTGCATCACCCTGTCCTCTGCTGTAGATAGCGCCTTATTCTCAGCCTTAGTTCCGGCCGATGAGAGGCAGTGTCCGCTTATCTCTCTTTGTAGACCACGATCTCCCAGGAGGCCATGCCGGACACTGGGAAACAGCCCGGGTGAGCAACCGCACGGCCGTTGTAGAATGTCTGTCCCCTTCTCCCAGGCTCGTTACTCATACGGCCCAGGAAACACCTGAGGTCATCCCTACCCACGTGGCCACACTGTGAATAGAGGGCCTTTCCTGCTCCTCGAGTCGTTCCGGAAAGATTAGAAGGTCATCGGGAAAACAGTGGGGAGGCGCCACAGTAGCAGAAAGGATGTGGAATGAAGGGTGGCATGAGGACGAAAAAGGGGCCCCCGACGAACCCTGAGGAGCTCAGGGAGGCCGGCCCGGCGGCCTTCCAGACGCAGAGGCTCAGAGGAACCACACGGATGGTCTGAACGTAAAACGTCCTAGCTAAAGGCGAGTCCCAGGCCTGTAGCCCCCTTGACAAAGGTCAGCCTTTACCGGAAGTGAGCTGTCCATGGTCCTTTGCATCTCAGATAACATACCTTTGAAAGGTCAGCGTTATCTCCTTGTCCAGACCTCTGACAGCACGTCTACTGCTCCAGGCAGGGCACCTCGGAACCCGGTCATCTTGTTCCCCGCATGCCATCTCTACGTACACGTTAGTTCACTGTCCTGCACCCACCGATGGGAAAGGAGTGTCTTTCCGTTTTACTTTTTTTCCAGTCCTACAACTTACCCCATTGCCTCATCCTGCCACTAATGCATTTCATGTAACGCCCTTGCATCTAATTTGATTCCAACATATAAAACGAGCTGCACAACTGCCATTCTCTGGAGCAAACCTCCATCCACTGAGATGTTGCTTCCTAGCAATTGTCTTCAGTTTGGCTCAAATAAACTCATAAAGCCCTGGCCAGGGTTGGTAAGTGGTTAGAGCATCGGCCCACACACCAAAGGGTCTCAGGTTTGATGCCTGGTTAAGGGCGCGCACCTGGGTTGCAGGCCTGATATCCGTTCGAGGCATGTGCATGGGAGGTAACCAATTGACATGTCTCTCTCACATCAATGTTTCTCTCTCTCTCTTTCCCTCTTCTTCCCTGTCTCCCTTCCACTCTCTCTAAAAGTCAATGGGGAAAATATCCTCTGGTGAGAATTAACAAAAAATAAAAATAACTAAGTAAACTCAAACATTCCCTACGGGTTTGGACATTTTCTTTTTGGTTTTCTTAATCCTCACCCTAGGATAGGTTTATTGATTTTATAGAGGGAGGAAGGAAGAGGGAGAAAACACATACCTAACACATCAATGTGAGAGAGAAACACTGATTCCACTGTAGGTACCCTGGCCAGGGATTGAACCTGTGACCTTTTGGCATCGGGGGCAACACCCCAACCAACTGAGCCACCCGGCCATGGCTGAACATTTCTTGTATCGACAGTACGATGTGGGATATAGGTGATATTTCCAAACCTTTTATTAAAATCTCTTAGGCAAATTGTCTTTAATCTATGAAATGATAAAAGGTGGTAAAGCCGAGACCGGTTTGGCTCAGTGGTAGAGCGTCGGTCTGCGGACTGAAAGGTCCCAAGTTCGATTCCGATCAAGGGCATGTACCTTGGTTGTGGGCCCATCCCCAGTGGGGGCGTGTGCAGGAGGCAGCTGGTCGATGTTTCTCTCTCGTTGACGTTTCTGGCTCTCTCTCTCCCTTCCTCTTCTCTGTAAAATATCAATAAAATTTAAAAAAAAAAAAAAGGTGGTGAAGCTTCATAATGGAATGTCATGAAAACTAGAAAATTGGATTAAAAGATCCGTGAGTAACCACCCCCCTTCCCCCACTTCTTCCCACCACAAGACACCGATCCTCATTGTTACCGATGAGGATCGTGGTAACAAAGCTACCAGAAAGGTCTAGGGTAAGTGCCAACCTGACGGACAACAGGGAGCACTGCCAACAGTCACTCGCGCCAAGGAAGTTCCTCAAAATGGCAGTTTTGCTGAGAATTCCTGCAGCGGTTCTCCAAGCCCATTTCATTGGTTGCACTAATACATACTGGCCACATGGGGGCAGCAGCACACTCCACAACCAAACTTTTTCCTAAGGACACAGCGGAGTGTGCTGTTCCGTCTCCCATGGCGATGAGTAGAAATGCTGCTGCTTATGAGACATATTAAAATAGCCAAAGAATAGAAAGGTGGCCACATCCACATATAACATGCTGTAGTTTGCAGTCTGTTCCCCTGGTCCTCCAAACCCCTTTTAAGACTCTGCCCCCCGCCATTTTTCAGGTCACCTCTCCAGGAATCCTCTCTGACCCATGCGTCTGGCCCTGGTCTATCTGCCAAGCTTAAGACCTGCATTGCTAACTGTGCTCCAGTTCCTGCAACCATCGCTTCAAACCAATTGTTCATCTTTCCTTACAGACCACTGTCCCTCCAGATTGTCTGGCCTCTCTCATTAATAAAAACAAACACTGCCCAGCCGGCGTGGCTCAGTGGTTGAGGCACTGACCTATGAACCAGGAGGTCACGGTTAGATTCCTGATAAAGATATATGCCCTGGCCCTAACCCGTTTGGCTCAATGGCCAGAGCGTTGGCCTGCGGATTAAAGGGTCCCAGGTTCGATTCTAGTCAAGGGCATGTACCTTGGTTGCGGGCACATCCCCAGTAGGGAGTGTTCAAGAGGCAGCTGATCAATGTTCCTCTCTCATCGATGTTTCTAACTCTCCCTTCTTCTCTATAAAAAATCAATAAAATACATTTTTTAAAAAGAAAAAAGATTGGGACCCGGTTGTGGTCCCAATCCTCAGTGTGGGGTGTGCAGGAGGCAGCCAATTCACGATTCTCTCTCATCACTGATGTTTCTATCTCTCTTTCTCCCCCTCTCCCTTCCTCTCTGAAATCAATAAAAATAAAAGCAAACACTAACTTTATCTGGCATGTGCCAAGCTTTCCATGGATTAACTCACTAACTCTTAAATTTTATCAAAGGAGTTTGATATCTTGGTCAGAATCACATAGCTGAAGAGCCGGAGTGGGATCGAAATCCAGGCAGGCCAGCCTCGATCTGAAGGCAGCTTTGGTCCGGCATCTCCTTTTAAGACAGATGTTTATAGTCTCGGTTGGAAAACATGGTTTTATTGATGATATCAAGTTAAGCCCGAACCTAAGGGGATTCTTCTCTTCTGGACGGCCTCGGTGCCAGCACCTCACACAGCTCAGAGCACATCACAAGCATGCAGCCCATGCTCCTGGGTTGAACTGGCTGAAGTCACGTTTACATCAGCAAGCACACAGGTTAGGAGACAAAAAAAAGTACCTCGAAAATCCAAATGTAGTTCCACCAACAGTAACTCAGAACTGTGACAGGAGTTGCTATTTTGATAATAATGAGCAGAATAATCTTGTTTCAAAGTCAAAATAAATGTTAAGAAAGGGAATGATTGTAAAGGAGTTCTAAGTGCAAAGAGTGTCTATAAAAATCTGTATCCCAAAAAAGTATGGCGAAGTAGGACGAGGTGGAGGAGACGGGTGGCTGGTGGGAAGGGAAATCGTGGACACCCAGAGGCAGCTGTCTGGGAGTGTGATGTCCATTCCAGAGGCTAAAGCCCATTCCACCACTCCGTCATGAGTTCGGTCTTGGTTTTATAACATTTTACTGGTTTCATTTCCTATGTTCCAGCAAAGTCAGAACTACCACCCTACTCAAACTTTGGTAAGTCACACACGGCTTCCTGAGTGATATCCAGGCTGAGGCCTACAGGAGAAGTGAAAGTTAGCGGGGAAAGTGTGGGAGAGGAAGATTATTTCAGGCGAAGAGCATGTGCATTGGGCTGGGAGTGCGAGAACGAGGTCCGTTCTATAAGGAGTGGCGGGGATCGCACCACGTTAGGGAGGGTGTGGGGAAGTGAGCATTCTCACACGTTGTTGCTAAGGGTACACATTTATACCCGCTCATAAATTCCTACAGAGAAATGTGGGAACATGTTTAGAGCCTTGAAAAGTATTCAGGCTGAAACTGGTTTGGCTCAGTAGATAGAGCGTCGGCCTATGGACTGAAGGGTCCCAGGTTCGATTCCGGTTAAGGGCATGTGCCTTGGTTGTGGGCACATCTCCAGTAGGGGGTGTGCAAGAGGTGGCTGATCGATGTTTCACTCTCATCAATGTTTCTAACTTTTGTCCCTCTCTCTTCCTCTCTGTAAAAAAATCAATACATATATATATATATTTTTTTAAATATATATATATTTTTTAAAAGTATTCAGTTTAACCTAGCTATTTCATTCCTGGGAATTTATCTTACGGAAAAAATTAAGCATGCATATAATGATTTAGCTACAAGGTCTATAACCATGCCGCTGCTTATAAAAACAAAATGTTTAAAGCAACCTTGGGCCCATTTATCAAGGCCTAGTTAAATAAATTAAACTAGAACCATATTTCAGAGTACTCTGTAATCATTATAAATTGTGCCCAAGATTAATATTTAATGGCTCAATAGTTGAGTATTGACCTATGAATCAAGAGGCCATGGTTTGATTCCCAGTCGGGACATATACCCGGGTTGCGGGCTTGATCCCCAGAGTTGGGTATGCAGGAGGCAGCCAATCGATGATTCTCTCATTGATGTTTCTCTCTCCCTCTCCCTCTCCCTCCCTCCCTTTTTCCCTCCCTCCCTCTCTCTCTCTTCTCTCTCTCTTCCTCTCTAAAATCAATAAAAATATTTTAAAATAAATAAATTTAAGTATAATAAGTAAAATATACTTATTAGCATGAAAAGTGTTCACAATATAACATTATGAGAAAGAAAAAGCAAGATATGGCACAATATTGCTGTATGGGTCCTATTTCACAATAACGAGTAGAAAAGTCTGCTTATTTCTGGGTTGTGGAATTATAAATGTTTTTAGCTTATCTTTTTCCTATTTCTTTAACAAACATGCAGTACTTTTTTTTTTTTTTTTAAATAAGAAGACTTGTCAGTTACTCATTAACTTTTTAAAAGACTCACTTGTCCCAGCAGTGAACAGAGATGAATTAAGTCTTACATTCAGTTCCCGACCAGCGGCTAGGAGGGTGGAAAAAAAATAGGGATTCCAGGAAAGAGCACTCAGCAGCACATCCCCACGGCAAGTCCGTACGCCCTCTTCCCCTCAGCACCTACCTGGACAAACCCAAACGGGAGGAGGCGCTCCGTCTGCCCGTGGGAGCCGAAGTGGAAGGTCTGGCGCCAGTCCTCAATGAGCGCGGGGAAGGTGCAGTTGTACAGGTTCCTGTTAATATCGATATTGGCCTCCCCTGGAAGCAGTCCAAGTGGGGAGAGGAGTTTGGGGTAGAAGCAAAAACGGCCACAAGATACTCCCCAACCTCTAGCCCTGCCCTGGGAAGTGGGCCTTCCTGCCGTCTCTCTGGACTGGCCTTGCTCGGACCGACAGGGGCATCAACACACATGACGAGACAAGCAGATTTGAAAAGTGCTTCAGTTTGGGGGTCTGCTCTCCCTCGATTCACCTGGAACCCTGAATCTGTTACATAAACAATAAATAAGTCTGAGCTCTCTCGCTGAAGGATGGGAGGCCATGTGAGAGCCACGGAGCCCAAGCCGGTAGACAACTCCCAGCCAACCCACGTGGAAGAGAGGCCCATCTGTCACCCGGCCACCAGACAACCTGCCAGGCGGCCAAAGACACATAAAGGTCCCAGCGGACATTAGCCCAAGCACCCCAGACGGAGAAACAACCCCGCCAGACCACAGGATAGGGAGCTCCATAAAACTGTTCTTGTTGTAAGTCACTCCATTCTAGGATGGTTTGTTACGCAGCAAAGCTGACTGACACAAAGGAGAAACAGCAAATGGGACACTCACCCTGGTACCATATCACGCCTTTCAGAGTCATATTAGTCAGTGGGTGGATCATGGCATTCCAGAGAACAGAGTGCTCGCTGGGACCACTTATAGTCACCGGCCGGGTGAACCTGAAATCGATAAGGCACACAAGTGTCAGGAGAGAGCTAGCGATCGATCGCATTATGATCCCTCACCTGGGCGTCTGTCTACCCAGCTTTTACTCGGGGCAAATTTCTGATGAAAGCAAACACAGAATTACATGGAACCACCCTGTCTCACATGGACACAGGTGCACAGTCTCTGAGTTTCACCTCCAGGGTCTTCCCAGAATAAGGGTGTATCAGTCAGTTTTCTGGGAGTGCAGCGTGGGCCACCCCTGTTTTCGGATAAGGTAATTAAAACCACCAGAAGTGTTTTATTGCGCGTCTCACACACAAGGCACTAGATTTGTTTGACTAGTCCTCAATGAATAGACACTTTCCAGCCTTTTGCTTTTGCAAGCAATGCCATGATTCTCTTTCCTATAGCTTAACCATTGCATACAGACTTAAGTATTTTGTTAAGATAAATTCCCAGATCTGAAAAGGCTGGGTCAAAGGGCATTATTTATTTATTTTTTATATATTTTATTGATTTTCTTTATAGAGAGCGAGGGAGAGGGATAGAGAGTTAGAAACATCGATGAGAGAGAAACATCAATCAGCTGTCTCCTGCACACCCCCTACTGGGGATATGCCCACAAGGTACATGCCCTTGTCCGGAATCGAACCTGGGACCCTTCAGTCCACAGGCCAATGCTCTATTCACCGAGCCAAACCTGTTAGGGCAGTGCACATCTTTTTTAAAAAAGGCTTTCAATGTGCCCTCGCTGGTTTGGCTCAGTGGATAGAGTGTCAGCCTGCAGACTGAAAGGTCCCAGGTTTGATTCCGGTCAAGGGCACATGCCCAGGTTGAGGGCTCAATTCCCAGTGAGGGGCGTGCAGGAGGCAACCAATTAATGATTCTCTCATCACTGATGTTTCTATCTCTCTCTCTCCCTCTCCTTTCCTCTATGAAATCAATAAAAAAAATTATATATATATATATATATTTTTTTTTTTTTAATAATAAATAAATAAAAGGCTTTCAACGTGTTCCTAACTCTCTCTGTAGAATGCTTGTCGGGGTTTACACCCCCTTCCCCACGCCCTGGGAATTGTCCCTTCCATGTCCTCAGAGATCAGGGAGCTCCGGCTTCAGAGGCCACAGGCAATTCTTTCTGCTCCAACATGAATGTCTTCACCCAGACACACCCTGACCCAAGCGGAACCAAGAGCTCAAGTCCACCCTCTTCCCAGAGGCCTTCTCACACCGGACGAGACGACGTCGGTGAGGGCAGGCCACGTACGTTGGCGTGACCATCAAGATGTCGTTGCGCAGCCCGTCCTCCCACCCAAACCCCGCACCACGTCTTCTTCCTGATCTAGCTTTCCCCGGGTGTGCTTTCATCATCACTGCATCTATATTTCTGTGATTCCATGGCTATTTGTTCTTCCTGTTACGTCGTTTATGCTGCTAAGCCAGTGGTCGTCAAACTGCGGCTCGCGAGCCACATGCGGCGCTTTGGCCCCTTGAGTGTGGCTCTTCCACAAAATACCACGGCCTGGGCGAGTCTATTTTTGAAGAGGAGGCGTTAGAAGAAGTTTAAGTTTAAAAAATGTGGCTCTCCAAAGAAATTTCAATCGTTTGGCTCTGTTGACGAATGAGTTTGCCGACTGCTGTGCTAAGCAATATATTATAGCACTGTGGTTAAGAGCACAGACACTGAGGCCAGACTTTGCCACTTACTCGTGTGTCCATGAGCAGGTTACTAAAGCTCTCTCCGACTTAGTATCTTTTTTTTTTTTTTTTTTTAATATATTTTATTGATTTTTTACAGAGAGGAAGAGAGAGGGATAGAGAATTAGAAACATCGATGAGAGAGAATCATCGATCAGCTGCCTCTTGCACACCTCCTACTGGGGATGTGCCTGCAACCAAGGCACATGCCCTTGACCGGAATCGAACCTGGGACCTTTCAGTCCGCAGGCCGACGCTCTACCCACTGAGCCTAACCGGTTTCGGCCGACTTAGTATCTTTTAAAATATATATTTATATATATTTATTGATTTCAGAGAGGAAAGAAGAGGAGGTAGAAACATCAATGATGAAAATCACGGGTCAGCTGCCTCCTGCACGCCCCACACTGGGGACGGAGCCTGCAACCCAGGCATGTGCCCTGCCCGGGAAGCAGATGGTGACCTCCTGGTTCATAGCTCAACCACGGAGCCACGCCGGTTGGGCTCAGACGTGGTACTTTTATCCACGATATGTTAACAGCGTCTACATTTCAAGAGATTGTTGTATTAAACGAGTTGCTATATATAAACTACTTAACGTTTTTTCAGCATAAAGCTCTCGGTAAGTATTAGCTATAATTATTATTAGGAAAAAGACTCATAATTGCTTCTTGTACTGTTCCAGATGGCTGGGGTGGTGGTGACAGTGGAAATAATACCTCGCCTGTTAATACATATTTGGACACTCGGCGCCCCTCTCTTATCTAACTTCCTGGCAGGCTTTCTCCAGGACTGCAGAAGGCGTTCTTACCCTTCCTTAGTGACCCCACAGGCCTTCAGGGCCCTTTCAGATGACCAGGCTTCGATGGGGGTTCCACCCCACAAGGAGGCCACCAGCCCAATGGGATACTGCAGCGTGTCGTACAGGTGGCGCCCGAAGAGCCAGCACACTGCCGACATGTACTCGAAGTTCCCGTGGCCTAGGTTTTCTGTTCGGAAAAAGAGAGTCAGGTACAGAGCAGAGGGATACGGAGAGGCCTGGGGGAGAAGAAGGGGGTGTGGGCCATCCCTCGTGTTCCTTGCTAAGAACTTCCCAGGGCGGGATAAGATTGAGAGGCAATGATCTCACTTGCAGAGCGCCAAAGCTCCCTGGCAGGGCGAGCAGTGTCCCCCCAACCCCCCGCCCCCATGCTCCCCTATCACGTACAGGTTCCTAGGAATATGATTAGTCCTCCTCAACAGGTGAGGGCAGAAAGGCCATCAGGCCCCTCACGTCTCCTCTGTCTTTATGTCGCCATTCGTTCCCACTTTGCTCCGTGGAAAGAGATGAGCAAGCAGACAGCATGTGGAGAAGAACATCACTGAAACGCTGCCTCTCTCACTAGGAATTCCACGGCCGCTCTAAGCTGGAAACCACTACCTACCCCAGACCCCACGAGTCTCTCCTGACTGCCTTCCCTGGTGGATTTATTCAGCGTCATTAGCCTGCATCACCACCTAACCTATCCCTGATGTCCCAAACTTATCTGGTGCCCGAGTTCAGAGAGTGAAAGGGAGGCGACAGCAAGCTATGCACTCCTTATCCAAACCTAAGTGATTCCCGAGTGTTGGATAACACATATAGTGAGAGTTCACAGACCCAAAACATTCCCCCAAAATTGACCAAAATAAATGTAGCTCCTACGTTCTTAGAGGGAGAGCTCAGATAGTGTGAGACGGAATAACATCAGGTACTTCCTAGAGAGTTTGCTGATTTTATTATTCATTTTCTGGAATACCAGCTCCGTGAGATCAGCTGTGTTTGCCTGTTTTGTTCACTGCTATACCCCCAGCACCGAGACCAGTGCCTAGCACATGCTGGGCACTCAAGTATTTGGGGAGTTCATGAATGCAGGAGCAAGCGAGGTTTCCGAGGTAAAGCATGTACAGACCAAGAACAGGGACTGGAGAGGTCACCAGGGGTCATACTGGAGGAAGGAACTGGAGGAAGCAGAGACCTAGGCAGAGAAGACGCGGGAAAGGAAGTACCAGGCAAGCGAACAGGAGTGTGTCACTCCCCAGAGGAGCGGTGGGCCGGGTCGAATGCTTACAGGTATCACCAGAGGTTCTATCACGAGAAGGACAGGAGTCACTCTGAGGTGAATACGTTGTTGAGGTGGAAGCACAAGGCAGATAATAAAGGGTTAAAGAGTGACTGCATGGAAAGGCAGAGGAAAGAATGAGGAAAAGAAGATGTTCCAGAAAGTTTTACCGAAGCAAAGGGGAGAGCGGAGGCACTGTGTGAAGGCCACCTGTTCTGTTCCGTGTTTGCTCTGTTCCGTTAGAAAGGAAAGCTAACCTCTGAGAGCAGGGACTGTGGATGCCTTGCTCACTGCTCTTCCCTTGAGGCTGGGCACAGAGCCACTTGGAGTGGGCACAGAACAGAGCCTGGTGGGCGAGAGAAGGCCCCCGAGGAAGTAAGAGCCTGGTTCAGAGGCAGCCATGAGAGGACCCCAGTCAGTTGTGTTCAGGAGGAGGGATGCCTGAGGGGTCATGCTGAGCGGCCTCCGTGTGCTCAGTGAGGCTGAAGGTGGAGTCACTGCTCACAGCAAGGAAAAAGACTCGGCAGTGGGGTCTTGGGACTAAACGTATGGGATGGCTACCATCAGGAATAGGGTGCAGAGTCAATCAGAAATGAAAAAGGCCTGGCTGGAGTGGCTCAGTGGTTGAGTGTTGACCCATGAACCAGAAGGTCACAGTTCAATTCCTGGTCAGGGCACATGTTTGGCTTGTGGGCTCAATCCCCAGCAGGGGGGCATGCAAGAGGCGACCAATCAATGATTCTTTCTCATCATTGATGTTTCTACCTCTTCCTCCCTCTCTCTTCTTCTCTGAAATCAATAAAATGTATTTTCTTTAAAAGATAGCTGCATCCTAATAAGCAGAGAAGAACCCAGTTCAGGGTCTCAGATCCCACCCGGGGCGCTGACACTCCGTGTAGAGATGGCACCTGCTCCAGCCCTCACTCACCTGCGGTGGGCTTAGACCATGGCAAGTCCACCTCGGCAAGGTCCTCCAGCTCCCGCTCTGCCTGATTGAGAGACACGGAGAGGATGCGGACGGACTGGTAGGCCTCGGTGTTGGCCAGCTCCTGTGTAGCATTCAATATCTAGAGAAGAAACAGGAATGTCACTTCTTACGCCAACCTATTTGGTGGGTGGCCAACTACCCAACTGCCTCTGAAACACCATGAACTGTGGGCAAATAAAAGGGGTCCACCCTAAACCTGACAAGCTCAGGGGAGGCCAACCTGGTGGGCCCTCCAAACTCAGAGACGGAAAGTTACCACAGAGGATGGCCTGAACATAAAAATTCCTAACTAAAAGCGAGGCATGGCGGGTAGTCCAGTCCCAGGCCTGTAGCTCCCTTGACAAAGGTCAGCCTTTACCGGAAGTGAGCTGTCCATGGTCCTTTGCATCTCAGATAACATACCTTTGAAAGGTCAGCGTTATCTCCTTGTCCAGACCTCTGACGGCACGCCTATGGCTCCAAGCAAGACACCATGGAACCCCTGTCTTCTTGTTCCCCGCATGCCATCTCTACGTACACGTTAGTTCACTGTCCTGCACCCACCGAGGTGAAAGCATAAGTGCTATTTCCTTTAATCCTGGCTTCTCTTCTAAAGAAGCTACTGTAAATACATTATTTTGCTTTGTTGTTTGTGTTGTGGTGTTTTTTTTTGTTTGTTTGTTTGTTTGTTTTTTGTGTGGCTTTGTGGCTTTGTTCTTTCTCATCTTCTCTCTATCCCCCTGGACTGGTCTGGTTTTCCCAAACAAAGGGCTAAGGGAGCGTCAGGAAGCCCAGTTACCCCTGGCCTCAGGGAACGGGCGCTCCAGCTGAGGCAGCCAGGCGGGGGCACAGGAGGCTGGCCGCCTTCCCTCGGCCACTGCGGAGAGCGCAGCTGGCTCGCCTTCCCTCCCGCCCACCACGGAGAATGCAGCTGGCCCTCCAGCCCACGTTGTAAGATGAACGATCGGGCTGCCAGATTGCCCCCACGGAGCGACTCCCTGAAATAGGCTGCCCCCGGCCCCCACCCCCGCCTCGCCTCCAGCCTGGCCGGGCGCTGAGCCTGCTGCGGCCACTCAGATGGCCAGACCCAATTGGCTCTGCTGGTCCCCGTGGCGGCCACAGCCTGAACGGCACTCCCTGGAGCTCTCGCCCGTTAGGGTCATGGGTCTTCCCACTGTCAGGACACACGTCACCTAGAGTCTCGGGAAAATTCCACAGGAAACCCAGATCGGTGTGTTCGGGAGCCTACCTGGTGAGTTTAATAAAAAAAAAAACAAAAAAAAAAAAACATCAGACCGAAACCAGTTTGGCTCAATGGGTGGAGCGTTGGCCTGCGGACCGAGGGGTCCCAGGTTCGATTCCGGTCAGGGGCATGTGCCTTGGTTGCGGGCACGTCCCCAGTGGGGGTTGTGCAGGAGGCAGCTGATGGATGATTCTCTCATGGATGTTTCTGACTATCCCTCTCTCTTCCTCTCTGTAAAAAAAAAATCCATAAAATATATATATTTAAAAATCAGTGCGTGAGGACAGGTCAGCACACTTACAGTCTGTTCTGGCAGGGGCCTTGCTTTTCAGCAGCAAGTACCTGCAAAGAGTCCTCTCCCCTGGAATCCAGTTCCTCCCCAAGCGCGAAGGCTTGTGTGCTGCTTCCATGGAAACCGCGGATGGAGCTGCCTCCATGCTCTCCGCCCACACCTGCTCCCAGCGACAGCGAGGAAGCCAGTGCCTCCCGCAGGGGCTGCCAGCTCCCCGCTCCGGGCGGCGGCGAACATGCCACTTTCACACCCGCCGCCGCCGCGGAGGGCTGCAAGGCCAGCGACGCCGGGGTGGTTGGCGTTCTCCGAGGCTGCTCCCGGCGCACAGCACTGGGTCTGGAACACTGGCTGAAAAACGTCTGTTTTCAAACTCACGTTGGTGTGTTATCTCAAGTCAAAACGTGAAAGCCACATGAGGTGGTAACAAAAATGGGGGTGGGAGCCGTGGCCGCTGTTTATCGGTGGGTAGAGCACTGGCCTGCAGACTGAAAGGTCTCAGGTTCAATTCTGGTCAAGACCAAGGGCACGTACCTGGGTTGCAGGCTCCATCCCTGGCCCTGGTTTGCAGGAGGCAACCAATCGATGTGTGTACTCACATTGATATATATATATATATATATATATATATATATATATATATATATATATATATTTCATTGATTTTTTCACAGAGAGGAAGGGAGAGGAATAGAGAGTTAGAAACACCGATGAGAGAGAAACATCAATCAGCTGCCTCCTGCACACTCCTTACTGGGGATGTGCCCACAACCAAGAGACATGCCCTTGACCGGAATCAAACCTGGGACCCTTCAGTCTGCAGACCAAGGTTTTATCCACTGAGCCAAACTGGTTAGGGCTCACATCGCTATTTCTCTCTGTCTCTCCCCATCCCTTCCATTCTCTCTAAAAATCAATGGGAAAATATCCTCTGGTGAGGATTAGCCAAAAAAAAAAGGGGAGGGGGGATGGGAGAAAATTCTTGCTGAATCCGATGACAATGGCTTCTGAAGCTGCATCCTCTCCCTGCATCAGCGAGCCTTTTGGATGGATGCGCCTCCTTAGGGATGTTGGCAACAAACTTAGGAATAAAGAGGTTTCAGGAAGATTTTCATTTAAATGACACTTGGTTTCCCTGCTGATGAAAGGGGAAGCCTTCCTCCATCTGCTGAGATCAGACCTCAGCTCATCAAACACCTCAGTGTAATTATTTCTCTACCGCGTATGGAAATGAGGATGGAAATGAACGCCGAGGTGTTTGAAGTCATTAGGGCTGCTGGGCTGAGAGGGAGCAGCGCCCGTCCCTCTGGGGACCCGCAGTTTGGCATCAAAGCAGCTGCTCACCAGTGTTCAATTTGTAACCTTTACACCGCATGCTTGAATTAATGAAGACGCGTCAAGATCCTGTTTCCTCGGAGAATCTTGGCATGGGGTCTGCAGGAGGAGCAAGGCCTGTGGGGTGTGTGTGTGTGTGTGTGTGTGTGTGTGTGTGAGAGAGAGAGAGAGAGAGAGAGAGAGAGAGAGAGAGAGAGAGAGAGGAGGGAGAGAGATTTCTGTATTTCACCTTCTACAATTATAGGGGAAATTGGGGTCTAATTACTGGGTGGTTAGGGGTGGGGTCCTTACAATATCTCCAGAAAAGAACTTTCTGAGACTCACACGGGAGGATGTGATTTTTGTTTGCGTGGAATTACAGCCCTGGTTTTCCAAAGTCCTATTCGGGTCCTGGAAGAAGTGTGGCTGGGTTTTCAGTAAAGCTAGGAGCAAAGCCAGTGTCCAGTGTTGTGTGTGTGTGTGTGTGTGTGTGTGTGTGTGTGTGTGTGTGTGTGTGTTTTCCAGGTTGGAACCAGCTCCAGTTGAGCATCAGGCCAGCAGCGGTCCATTAGTCCATTGTGTTGGAGTCCGCGTGGCTGTGTGCCATGTGGGTGAAGACAGGAGAGCCATGCCCGAGCCAGGAGCCAAATGTGCCGAGAGAGGAGATTTCTTTGTGTAAGGATTCAATAACCCACATTTCTCATCCTTGCAGTGGCCACGCCTACTCTGGTCAATGACCTGTTCCCACGTGTGACTGACAGACAAGTACCTTACAGACCTCACCCCAACTTCACTGGGCACGCATCTGTTCTCCCCCGTGGGGTGTGTGTGTGTGTGTGTAAAGCTTTTGCTTCCTGGTGAAGTTGCTGAAATGACATGCCTATAATATGTGGCCTTCCCTTTGCTCCTATCCTATCTAATGAAAGAGTAATATGCAGGTGGACCATCACTCCAACACACAAGATGGCTTCCCCCATGTGGTCAAAGATCCTGCCCCCATGTGGACACAAGATGGCCACCACAAGGTAGCCAGCAGGGGAGGGCAGTTGGGAGGAACCAGGCAGTTGGGGGTAACCAGGTCGGCAGAGGACAGAAGTTGGGGGTGACCAGGCCTGCAGGGGAGGGTAGTTAGGGGTTAACAGGCTGGCAGGGGAGCAGTTAGGCATCAATCAAGCTGGCAGGGGAGTGGTTAGGGGGTGATCAGGCTGGCAGGCAGAAGGGGTTAGGGGAAATCAGGAAGGCAGGCAGGTGAGCAGTTGGGAGCCAGCAGTCCTGGATTGTGAGAGGGATGTCCGACTGCCCGATAGGCCTGATCACTGGAATCGGGTCTAAACAGGCAGTCGGACATCCCTCAAGGGGTCCCAGATTGGAGAGGGTGCAGGCTGGGCTGAGGGACACGCCCCCTCTGTGCATGAATTTTGTGCACCGGGCCTCAAGTTATTAATAGCTAGTTAATGGCAATGGTATCACCACTACAGTATAATACAGCTGTTTTAAAGTTGAGGAAATAACTATAAATAACCTACCCATCATTACTCCTGTGAGTCTTTTATTGTCATGCGCTAATATCCCTTCTCTTCTGGATTGTAATTTCTCTTCTCGGAAAGTAGGAATATAGGGATGACCAAGATATTGAGAAACGGGTTTCCTGTCTGACATTGGCCATCTTCTTCTGAGCTTGACTAGAAATATCCAAGTCTTAAGACCTACCCTGTCTTAGGAGGCGACAGATGAACATTTAGACTTTTCTCCATTTATAAACATCTCACTCGGTGTTATAAATAACGCTCGATTTAAAAATTCCACTTTACCCTAACAACAAGATAGGCATACAATCTGCCATTTCCTTCATTTGAATGTTATAGTGGAAACCTTACCTCCTCAGAAAAGTCACACGGAGGGAGAAAAGTTGGGAAGGGGAGGAGAGAGAGACAAAAACACCCTGTGTGTTGCAGTGGAAGGAGGGGTATCTTTGAAAGAAAAGGAGCAAAAGGAATATGGAGGAGTCACATACGGTATCCTTTTGATAAAAAATTAAGTTCTTGCCGAAACTGGTTTGGCTCAGTGGAGAGAGCATCAGCCTGCGAACTGAAAGGTCCCGGGTTCGATTCCGGCCAAGGGCTCATCCCCGGTGGGGAGTGTGCAAGAGGCAGCTGATGGATGACTATCTCTCATCGATGTTTCTAACTCTCTATCCCTCTCCCTTCCTCTCTGTGAATAATCAATAAAATATATATATATATATTTTAAAACC